TTTACTACAGCTTGGACCGGAGGAGAGTTCATCGAACGGGACGCGCATGCTTTGTGATAGAAAAACGCGTAAACCTGATATCATGATCGGGACAGTGAAGATTGAGCCGGCGGTGACGTTATATCGTTGGAGATGGTTGATCGGAAACAAGCAAAAACGCTAAACACGCTCGCTGCCAACGTAACAAAGCAGAACGAATTGCATGTTTCGGACTTTTATTACGCTGTTCAGATAAGCGTTTGTCTACTAAAACCATTTGGTACTTGGCCGCTGGGCAATGATGAAACGTCGAGATTCAAGATCGTCCTGCACAGGGCATTAATGGTGATCGCCACGTTCCTCTTGATCTTCACCATAGTGCCGATGATGCTGCACATGATGAAAGAAAAGGACGTCTTCCTAATAATCCATTTAATGTGTGAGTTACTCTTTACTCTAATGGCTTTCGCGAAATATGTTTTGCTGCTCTGGCATCAGGATCGGCTCAGGTTCTGCATTGATCATGTAGCTGACGATTGGCGGTACGCAATAATTGCCGAGGATCGCGATATCATGTTGGCGAACGCTAGAGTCGGCCGCACCTTTGGCATCACTTCCGTGGTTTTTATGTTCAGCTGCGGCACACTGTACTACTTACACCCTATAGTTACACCAAACTTAGTCAATGAAGACAACGTTACCGTAAGATTGCATCCATCGGCCTGCGAGTTTTTTGTGTTTGATTCTAAGGTAAAATTTTCAATTCCGATTTACAGGCCAAGTTGGCAGTGTTGATTTAGTTAATCCTGATTAGTGTTTTTTCGTTTAAAGATTCTTTATACGTTTATCATCTTTAGATATTATCTCTTTTTTTATAACATGCATTTAAGTTTCAATTATACATATATCTAGATATTAGATCGGCATGTATAAATTAATTTATTATCGAACAGATTAGTCCTGTGTACGAGATCGTGTACTTCTTACAACTTTTATCCGGTTTCACTGCCTACAGTGCATTCTGCGGCATTTGCAGCTTGATGGCCAATTTTGTTGCACATGTATGCGGTCAGTGTGACGTGTTAATGTCGCTTTTAGAGGAGCTCGTAGACGGTGGTAAACGCAATAGCGGGTCCATCGACAATCGAATTGCTCTTGTAATAACCCGACATTTGCATCTACTAAGGTAATTTCAAATACTTATACACGAAAAGAACGATTTTATAGTGTCTAAAAATTTTAACTAGATAATTTGAAAATAATCTTGTTACACTATTAAAATATTTATGTAGGATGCTTAAAGTAGAACGGGTTAAAAACTTTTTGCTATCAGCATTGCTTGTCATGCTTGAGATTCCTACGTAATTATTTTGATGGACCAATAAAATTATTTTCATATCTGTATCCGGCTCAATTTTTAGATAGGTACTTTAACAAAATCATTTTTTCTGTGTAGTATCTTTATTACAACAATTGCATTTGATAGTAGTTATATATAATATTAAAAATAAAATAAATAAATTGATAAATAAATTATTCAAAAATTGATATATTGGTAATGGATAAATTGTATGGATAAAACTTTTGAAAATTTTATTAGATATAATTTTCTAGATTCGTGTCTCACGTAAGAAACTTATTTACCGAGATATGTCTCGTGGAGTTCATGAATGCTTCGTGTAACATATGTCTAATGGGCTATATCATTATAACCGTATGTTCGATTTTGATTCTAATTCTTATGAAGATTTCAAAACAATTTTAAACAAATGTTGATACCTTACAATTGCAGCGATTGTTAATCTCTTTCCAAATTTTAGGATATGAATAATAATGAATCGTTCGTGCAGATTTTTATGTATTTGTTTGGACTTGTGTCAGTCATTTTCAATGTGTTCATGTTTTGCTACATTGGAGATTTGCTCAAAGAGCGTTGCCAGCAGATAGGAACTATTTGCTATACAATCGAGTGGTATCGAATGCCATCCAGGAAGGCGATTGATTTGTTAATGCCGATCGCAATGTCTCGATACCCTGCGACTCTTACCGCCGGAAAGATGTTGACGATGACCCTTACCACGTTCTCTGAAGTGAGTAATATCGTTTCGTGCTCTAAATGCGAGGTGTCAATTAAGACTGCTTAACGTGCTTGTAACAATGTTTCATACATGTTACATCTATTACTTACTTAGAGATTGGATTTAATCAGTGTTAATTATTGTGATTTTGTCAGTAAGTTTTAATAAATCCAAATAAAATATGTATTTCTTAAAATGTTTTAATCTTTATACTGACAATGAAAATAGACTATTATATCGTAGATCTTAAAAACGTCAATGGCGTATTTCAATTTACTTCGTGAATTTTCCTCGCGAGATTGAGAACGTAAGACATGGAGTGATGAGACTACATTGGATGGGATCCGAAAGGGGTACCATGCTTAGGATTTTAGTATGGCAGAAAATTACATTAATAGTTTGACAAATTAGTGTCACCAACTGAGTGTTTAATTATTTTGTATTTTATTTTTATTTTTATTATTTTTTATTATATATTTTTTCTTCTTCTATTTTACTTTTCTGTATTTGATTTTATTCTTTTAATTGTATGACTTTTTTAAAGAAATGTGTTGACTTTTATTTTGCCCTTTATTTATTGTTATTTAGTTTGACAAATAATGCACGTATTAGTATGGCACTTACAATGGAATAAATTATTTCTCTTTAAAATAATATGTTATAAAGTTTCTGTAAAAATAAGACATACAAAATATAAATAAGATAACGGAGTATATATGCTCACAGTATTGTGTTTCAAAAATTGGAGTATTATTATATTTGTATAATGTAAGCGTTGACCTGGCTGACAAAGATAGGATAAAAGTTTTATTTACTATGTTGCTCGACGAAGACCAAGTCCTTTGCTACTTTGAAAAATAAACGCTCTCGTGGTTCAAGTTACAAAGTCAAAGTTTCTACTGCTTACGTACTACCACACAAACGCGTTGAGAAACCACATTATGTGCAAAATCAATCGTTAAACTTCTTTTCGTTCACTGTCTTGCAACCCTTACAAGTGGCTCCTTAATTTTTAAAACACGCAGGCGCAAGTCGTCCGAGAGTTCACATCATACCTGATATGCTCAAAGTTCTGATCAGTAACCCTACGCAAACTTGAACCTGAACATATATATCTCAATTTTTCGCACCAACAATTAATTTAAAACATTTCGATTCTCTACATTAATTTTCTTCACCGTAATTGTAGAATTTTCAATCAAAATTATTTTTAATTAGAAAAGTTATATCGTGCATAATACCGCTAGAATGATCCCTAATGAATATCAGGAAACAGACGTGAAATACGTTTTCGAACAAAGTCACGTTGTACTTCGCATGCTTGGGATTTGGCCGTCGATTGACAGACAGCCAAACATAATCGAGAAGATTATAAATATTTTTCTCGTAATCGTCTGTTATCTCTTTCTCCATTGCGACATGGTACCGGGTATTCTTTATTATGCAGTAATCGATGATGAGCCGAGTGAGAAAGTAAAAATGATGCCACCGATTCTGTACTCAGTCATGGCAATCGCCAAATACAGTACTTTACTTGTTCATGAATACGATATTAGAAGTTGCCTGCGGCACATCAAGGAAGACTGGGGAACAGTAGTCGTCGATGATGCGAGAGAAGTGATGCTGAACAAAGCTAGTAATGGAAGACGATTGTTCACCTTGTGCTGCACGTTTATGTATTGCGGTGGATTGTCTTACAATACGATAGTGCCGTTATCGAGAGGAAGTATTGTTATCGATGAGAATACCACGATCAGACCCTTCTCCAGCCCCGGATATTATGTTTTCTTCGATCCGCAGAATAGTCCTGCCTACGAAATCGTGTTTCTTCAGCAAGTCCTTTGCGGTTTTGTCATGTACACGATCACAGTGGCGATTTGCGGTCTCGCCGCTGTCTTCGTGATGCATGCGTGCGCGCAGATGGAGATCCTCATGCGACAGATGGAGAACCTCGTCGATGAGAGTGAGTTTGGACAACGTAATATCGGCGCAAAGCTGGCAGTTATAGTTGAACATCAAATAAGAATACAAAAGTAAGCATTTTGTTTATAATTTTTCTGAGTACTTTGAATAATTCTCTCTTTGTCGGCATAAATCGGATATAGAATAAATACGCTCAAAGATTTAGGCTAGTATTTATAACCAGTCTTATTTGAAGACCATTTTAAGTAACGTCTTACGATACTAATACTAATCTGTGTTCGATATTTATATATTCTTATATATTGTTTAAGACAATCTTAAAATGTCGTAAACTAATTACAGAGCCGTATTAATATCTCAAGAAGGGCTTAAAATAAAAACCGATTATGAATACCAGCCATAAAATTATCCTTTATAAATATCAATAGTTTTATAGTTACATTTGATATTAAATATTATCATTAATAATAAATTGTCGGAAAAATTTTATATACTTATATATTTTTGCAAAAAACAAATTGATATTTTTTTCGTTTCAAAACTATGCTGAATCGAGTGTATCATAAATACATTTTAGTTTCTTGCAACTGGTGGAGAATATTTTGCGCTACAGTAGTTTAGTCGAAATAGTCGGGTGCACCACTCTGATATGTCTTACCGGATATTGCATAATAGGGGTACGAAAAATAATGCAAGCAAATTTATTGTGTTTAAGCACAATGCGTGTCGCATGTACAAAATAATTTTATTCTCAGGAATGGGATAATAAAAACTTACCAGCTTTCTGTACATACGTAACAGCTCTCACGTCTGTCATTATTAACATTTTTATTTTATGTTATATTGGAGAGTATATAACGGCGCAGGTAATTATTTTATATCTTTTAAGATAAGTAATACTAAGTTATAATAAAAACTTACATTCACTACTTTTTATATATGAGGTATACTCATAATTGTTCGCGATAGGCCGAAGAAGTTGGCTTGATTACTTGCACGCTCGATTGGTACCGTCTTCCGACAAACGTGGCGCGAGATATGATATTAGTGATAATCTCTTCGAATATTCCACCACGAATTACCGCTGGAAAATTCATCGAACTGTCCTTTAAAACATTCGGTGATGTAAGTAATATACAATAACTACCTATGATTTAGAGTTCGTTATCAGTTTGGATTTAAGAAATTGTTTCAGGTAATTAAATCGGCTGTAATTTATCTTAACATACTTCGACAACTTACCGAATAAATGGCAAACTGGGATTGGCAATAAATTTCTTTTTGAAATAAACATATCCATATTATATATTTTAATATGAAAGATTTATTATCAATATTAATAACAATAAGTAGTATTAATTATAAAAAATAATTAAATATTTAAGTATAATATCATTATAAATTATATAATATATGTGGATACAAATTTCCCACAGATATTTACGCTTATATGAGAAATATGACCAAATAAATGATTATTACTTAGTACAGAAATAAAAAATGTTATAATACATCACGAACATCTATCTTTTTGTATCTCTATAATATCTTTTTACACATTTTTCTTACGGAAAATTGTAAAACTTACCGCATCGCTATTACAAGTAAACTTTTTTCTTGGATATTCAACCCTTTCATAATTTCCGGGAAATCCTTTCTGCGCATAACAAAAATAGTCGTTTTAAAGTTTCTACGATGTTAGCGATTTGTTCGACGTGGCTTTGAAAGATTGTTTCAACACGCAAGCGCACGCGAGTCGCGAGTTCTCTTCAAATTGAACAGCGGATCAACCATGATCAGTGGCGAGTGAACGCGCATCGTTTCACCATCTGTGGCTCGCGCACGAACTATTATGGAAAAGATGTTCGCCAACAAAAATTACAAACGCGATATAGATTACGTTTTTAAGCTTAATCGCTTTGTCTTTCGTCTGCTAGGTGTCTGGCCGTATGCGCGTACAAAGGAGACCCTCCAGAGAGTCGCGGTGATCCTCATCTCCTACATCCTCCTCACTTGCGAGTTGGTCCCGACGATTCTCTACATGGCCATCGTGCAGAGAGAGATCCGTGCCAGGCTGAAAGTCATCGCCACCGTAATATTTATGGTGCTAGTGATGACCAAGTACGGCCATTTGCTGACCAAAAGGAACTTAGTGAGAAACTGCCTCACGCAGGTTGAAGACGACTGGCAAATAGTCAACTCGCACGATCGTGATGTGATGATCGATAAAACTAGAACAGGCAGACGTTTGCTGATAATATGTGCTATATTCATGTACTCCACTGGAGTGTCCTTTCGGACAATTATATCGTTATCCGCCGAAAAGATTGTCACTGAACAGAATTTTACGATCAGACATCTACCATGCCCGACTTATTTTGTTCTATTATATTTGATGTGCAGCTTAGCCTCGCTTACGAGATCATATTCCTTATGCAATTCTTCTCCGGATTCGTGAAATGCACAGTCACAACAGCGGTATGCGGCCTTGCAGGTCTTTTCGTGATGCACACTTACGCACAGCTGGACATACTGATGGTCCTGATGAATAATCTGGTAAATAAATGTGAACTTAAAAATGTGAATGAAAAATTGGCCACTATTGTAAAGTATCAGATCAAAACGCGAAAGTAAGACTAATTTTATAAGTATCTTTAACAAATTTGTTTGTTAGTATTTTAATGTTTTAATTGAAATCTACGTGTAAAATAGACGTTGGGATTAATTCATATACGATAAATTGTTCAATAAACAAGAATCTTTAAAGATATATTTAATTATTGATTATATTGAATATATTGATTATATTCGTTTTTATTTTTGTGTAAAGATATAGAAAATCTTGTTTATTGTACAATTAACATATTTCTTGTTTTAATTATAAGCAAATTTTTGAAAAACATTTATTTTGATAAAAATCTTTTTCCACGATCATTTTAGTTTCCTTCAGTGCAGAACACCACACAATATACAAGTCTAATGGAAATTATGGGATGCACCATAATTGTATGTCTCTTAGAAGATTTTGTTATCATGATACGTATAAAATAAATATGTAGCGACAATAATTTCAGTGATTTTTAAAGAGTATTATGGATATATAAAATATATATAAAACGCACAGACTTAACAAGTATCACAAAAATAAATATAATCGTAATTTATATGGTAGGAATGGGAGGATAACGTTGCCGTAATTGTATGTTCATATCTCATTGGACTCACATCGATTAGTTTCACCATTTTTATGCTTTATCGATGAACAACTTTCGACGAAGGTATGCTATCACATTATCGAAGTAATAATTAGCATTCATCAATTAATGTAAGCATCATTTTTTTTATTAATAATCTTATTAATCATCTTTGTATAATTGATTAAATTAGGGAGAAAAAGTAGCATTAACAACATGCTACACATTCACAATCACATTGTAGTGATACCGTCTTCTGGATGTAAAAGCGTGATCGCTGATATTAATCATGCTTATGTTGAATTTTCCGACAAAGATTAGAGGAGGAAAATATTTTGATCTTTTCTTCAGAACAACGTAAGTAATAATATGTTGAAAAATAAAAATCACATTTTTACAAAGATTCATTACATTTTAGGTCGTTAAGACGGCCGTAACGTATTTAAATCTTTTACGCTCTGTTGTTGATTAAATTTAAATAGTAAATGCATAAACGTAGTCTTCAAAGAAATATGTAACTTTTAAATAAAAATAGCCAAGGCACATAATTCCTAAACAATAATTCCTTTACTACAATAGTAAGAGAGACCGGGACTAGTTGTCGTACCAAGTTGTCAAAATGCTTATAACTCAAACAGTACATGGCAGAAAAATTTCTTTCTTTAAGTAGATTACTGATATAATATTAATTTGTTGTAAAATTGTTTACATTAAAAGCATTGTATATATTATTTATAACGACTTTTAAGAAAATAAAGTTAGTGAATAAATTTTTCTTATCATCTATTTTGTTGTCTGAGAAGTCTTTGGTATTATTAATAGTCAATATCTCTGTATTCATAGAAAATGACATGTCTTAAAAAATCTTTACTACAATTAATTAATCCTTATCCTGACAAAGTTTGTGAATACAATTTCTATTATTAAAAATAACTGTGTGGGATAGATTAATAAAAATGAGGCGAAGTTAGGTAACAATCAATTTTAATGTCTTTAGTTTGACACATTTTTAGAGATTATACTTATAAATATATTATATTTTATATAGATATATGTTTTTTTTATTTTTCATACAGAAATTACAGAACAAAAACAAATTACGTATTTTATAATTAAAATAACTATTTTGTCTGTATTACTATTATAATTATTATTATATCTTGAAATATAAAACTGATATTAAAAATTGTATTTTTTATGTGTTATTTACAAACAAAATATGCTATTGCCAAATGCTATTCTAAAACGTGTGACAATCAATCCAGAACACGGGACTAATTGTCACATTTTCGCAGCTTTAAATTAAATAATTTATTTTTATGATGAATTTAAGAATAATATTTTTTTTAATATCTAAAGGATGTAGATATATTATAACGTATATAATATTTCCAAATCTTTTTTCTAAAAATCACTAATCAAAAACTGTAACAACCGGTCCCGGTCTCCCCTAAGTATTTAAAAAGAAATAAAAGCCATAGAAAAGTTACAATACGTATTAACGTTTCATATACAAACGTATAAACTTTTACTCACTATCATTGAAGCTTCGAGGAACGCAAGTTGTAACATCAGCAGAATCAAACGTAATTATTTTTCAAAGAATCAGAAAACTTAACCAATGTGCATAACAAAATATCTTCCATAGAAACCATTTGCCGTTTTCATTTTCTGTTTCTCACGCACTACAAGTTTAGCAAGTTTTTTTCTATCTCAAGTAGTTATCGTAGAATATGACGCAAGTATGTAAATACAATTTTAGTTTTATTAAATTTATTGATGTTGTCAGAATCGAAATATCAGAAATACGATGACACTATCACGGCACTAAAACAATGTTATACGTTGATCTCTGATTAAACCAAAGTATTCTGTACTATGTAGCAGAAACTATTATTGCTAGCGGTCAACGTCCAAAGTAGTATACGTTTTGCTAAGTTTTAGTACGGGAAGAAAAATTGAAATCATTAAATCGATTATTCTTAGTTTGAAAACAAATGTACATGTTGACGAATGAAAAAACTATTTGTGGAAAGCAATCTCGATCCTCGGTAAGTTGACTTGGAAACTCTCTTGCTTTTAAACCCTCTCTTTCAAGCAACATATTAATTATTAAGGTGCGCAAGCGCAAACGAACAACGAATTTATTCTACAGTTTTTGTTTGCTGCAATCAGTTGCCATTCAGTTTGCATAAAGATTTCATACAGACTTGACAAAAGAATGCTGCACAACGAACATTACAAAGATGATATGATTTACATCACACAATTGACACGAAATGTTTTGAGCCTACTTGGGGTTTGGCCGAATTACAACAGGAGAAAAACTATTGGCGAAAAAATTTGGAAGTACTTCCTGATCTCGATCTCTTACATTCTTCTCTATTGCGTCCTAATTCCCGGTGCCTTATTTTGGATGATTGAGAAGAGAACACGAGTCAGAGTCCAAACGATTCCTTTACTTTTTTACGGTTTCATGGCCAGTGGTAAATACAGCAATTTGGTATTTCGTGAGAAAAATATTAGACGCTGCTTGAAACATATCGAACAGGATTGGAGGATCGTTACCAGTGCAGAGGGGCGAGATATGATGATTGAATCCGCGAAGATAGGAAGACGCCTAGTTACACTTTGTGCAGTCTTCATGTACGGCAGCGGGCTCTCCTTTCGATCAATTCTGCCATTTGCCAAAGGAAAAATTGTCACTGCGCAAAATATTACGATCAAACCGTTACCTTGTCCAGCTTACTTCTTTTCATTTGATATACAAATCAGCCCCGCTTACGAGTTGATCTTTGCATTGCAATTTTTATCCGGGATAGTTACCTATTCGATAACGATAGCTTTATGTGGCCTCGCGGCCGTTTTTGTGATGCACGCTTGTGGCCAACTAAAGATTTTAGTAGATTTGATGAGAAATCTCGTCGAGGATCAATGGCAAGAAAAACAAGAAGTGGATAAAAAACTGGCTAAAATGGTTGAACATCAAATACGAATTCGAAGGTAAGAATTACAAGTTTTAATTTTTATTAAACCCATGTGTGTACATCAATGTAACTTATGTAATAATTGATTATTTCGGTAATTAACATCATATATGCGGAATATATTTAGTACTATTTTCTCATTTTTCGAATATGATGATTCGGTGCCGTCGACAGTTTTTTGCAATTGGTAGAAAATACTTTACAACAAGCGTGTTTAATAGAATTGATGGGGTGCACGATGATAGTCTGCCTTTTGGGATATTTTATAATAATGGTTCGTAATTTTATATCCAAAAAGTTTTAATAATAATGAGATAAAAAAGAAAATTACCTGCAATAATGTAACTTTTATAGGAATGGGAAAATAGCAATTCGATAGCTATGTGCTCTTATGTTATAACACTTACATCTCTGATGATAAATATGTTCATGTTTTGTTATACTGGTGAACAACTTACTGTTCAGGTATAACTATTTATACCTTTTGCTCGTGATGATATCATGCGATGCTATTATATATAACAATTACGTATAATATAATAATATGTGATAATGTTTTTGTTATAATCCTAATAATGCTATTTGTTTATACAAAACAATATTTGAGAAATTGTTAAAAATATTTTTATAATAATTCTAAGTAATATTTAATCCCTAGAATTAGCTTAATTTTTTGCTACACATACTTGATAACATTAATAACAGGCAGAAAGAGTAGCTAGTACATCTTGCGAGCTCGAGTGGTATCGTCTTCCGGACAAGAAAGCGCGTGGGATAGTGCTGGTGATAATCATGTCGAACATGCCCACCAAGATCACTGCTGGGAAAATCATGACTCTATCATTCAAAACATACGGTGATGTAAGAATATATATTCAAAAATATTCACTAATTTTTTTAGGAATCAACAACAATTCTAACATTAATAATTAAATATGTTATTAAGTGATTGTTATTATCACTATATACTGTAATAGTTAATTAAGTACAACTTTTTTATTTAATTTATAGAGTCAATTAAATAAAACCATGATAAAGCAACTATTAAATATTATGCGTTTTTCAGGTCGTAAAGACAGCTGTAACGTACTTTAACATGCTTTTAAATGTAGCTGGTTAAATGTATCGGCTCTATATTTCTTTTCATTCAAATTACAGCTACAAATTATAATGGTAATATCGTATCGTGTATGATCGTGATATTGATGTGTCAAATACAAAAGTTTATTATAATGTACATACATCTATATAAATATTATTAATTTAGATATATTTTTTTCTATATATATAAAAAAGTATATGTAAGAAATTTTTGTTTTACAATATAATATTTTACATTAAATTTTCATATAAAGCAATTCGATAATTAATTCAGTCGAATTACTATTTTATTTCTTATAAATTTATATAAATCAAATGTACTTTCATTTCAAGATAAATAAGAGCATCGAGT